CAAGAAGAATGCTGAGTAAAATGTATTTTGTCTCTGCTGCTTTCAGCTGAATCTGTTCACTGACCTGTATGTGCAGTCTTTGCCTTCTTGAGAAAACACGTTGTTGACATTTGCGGTGTGCATCTGCATCTGGGGAAGCAGCATGTTGGCAGCCATGTAATTCTTCTGTTTTGAGCAGCACTGAAGCTAATAGCTGTTTTCATGGGCTAAGTCTTGACGAAGGCATACTGGCTTTGTTCATTGGCTTCTACTGAAATTATTTGATTGTTCTATGAATAGAGCTTCAATATGTGTATTATATTTATTTATTTATTCTGTCAGTATCTATCAATAAAATTAAAACACTGTCTGGAGTTACCTATTTGTAATCATCTTTCCCTTGCTGAAGCAGGCACTGCATTCTTGTTGTTATATAAACCTTAATAATGTATTAGCTCAGACATGCTCATTTTAGTGCTAAGCTTCAGAGTGGCTTATCTTTTTCCCTTTCACAAATGTATAAAAATAGAGCAAATGAAAACCTTCTGTAACAACTTATATTTAAAGCAAGAAATTTTTGCTAGCACTGGTTTTGTGCAGGCTTAAAAAAAAAAAAAAGCACCTGAGGCTGATAAAAAAAAAAAAAAAGATTCAGTTTCAGCACCTGAGCAGATAGGGGGACCAGCATAAGTGATCTTTCTTACAAAGAGATTGTATTCCTTCGGTGGCGGTGGTGGTGAAGTTAGGAGTAGTAGATGACTGATCCTCAAATAGTATTCTGAGTCCCTGTGGTAGGATGAGCAGAGATCATCCCATCTGTTATACAGTGTAACTTAATATAAAGGAAAGGAAGAAAAACACAGTAGGTGGTATGCAGCACCTAATAAGAAAGGGTAAGAAACCTTACTTTTTTCTTGTTACTTCGTTACTTGTTGCTCACCTGGAGCAACACTGTTCATTGTAGTTGGTCTGGTTGACCATCCAGTCCTCTAGAAAGCGGAGTCGTCACAGTTGCCACTGAAAATGTGGTAAATTGTTATTATCGTTTGTCCATTAGCTATAATGTTGCCATGGACTGATGTAGATGAGGAAGTGTAGACGTATTTTTTAAGAAAGTATAGTGGGTTTCTCTGGCCATTGTTTCCTCATTAGGAATTGATATTTTTATTTCTCAAGTAATTGATATTATTATTTTTTATTTTTATTTTTAAAAACTCTTATCTACTTACGAGGTGTCATGTTTTATATAACTGTTTTTTCATGTTGTGTTTTTGTAGATCATGTTATTCATGCAATATACACATGTTGATACGATCTCATGATGTTCTTATGTTGTTTGGAGCTGGTTGTGCCAATTTAAGAGTTTAGATTTTTGGAAGAAATTATCTAGAAATATTATTTAACTGTACTTTGCAAGATTCTGAATCACACAGGCAGAAGTTTTTCATTCTAGTATTTATTTCATACTGGCTTATTTTATTTTATTTAAGATAAGAAGCATGTTCTTTCAAATAACAAGATTAATAAAAATTACTGTTTTTTCCAAGTTTTAAGAACAGTTTTGGAGAAGCTCTCGTTTACATTCTCACCGTTTGAGGGCACAAGGTAGGGAATTACAAGAGATCGGACCTGGAGGTCATTTTGTGTGAAGATGTTTTTGCTGATTTGATTTGTGGAGAGCTGTCTATTTCCAACTGAGCTATAGACCTTTGGAGAAAGTGTGATCAACAGAGACTTGTTAGTTGTTTTCCAGGTACATTTTCCTAAGATTGCACCTGTTCTGTGCTTATAATCTCTTTAAAACTGTGTCTTAAAAGCTAAGAGGTGTTTTCCCTATTGCTGTATATGGAGGTTGTTACAAGCCAGGTAAAGGAAGGAGGAGCTCAGGCTGTAAATAGGAGCTGGCTGCTGGCAGACAGTGCTAGAGAGAGGCAAAAAAGTGTGATGAGGAGATTGATTCAGCCTGGCAAGGAAGAGAGAAGTCAGATGGGGAGTTAACCTGGCTGCAGCTTCAGGGAAGTAAAGTCTCAGGTTATGTGGTGTTCCGTGGTGTCTGGGGAGATCTCTGCTCAAGGCTCAGGATAGAATTGGTGATACCTGAGACTTGCTAGTCCTTTGTTGCAAGCAACAGAGTGTGGATCCAACAGTTCCATGCAATTGATTGGCAGAATGTCAGCCACACCTGTTGTAGAAGAATGCACCTTTCGTAGAAGAATGTGTCCTTTATTTTCTTGTATCCACTGCTTCATGCACTACATTTTCCAACTTTTTCATGTGTCTGAGCTGTAGAAATAATGCTGTTCACCCTGCCCAACTTTTTCTAATAGCAGAAGGCCCAACCTATGCCATGGATTCAGCAAGGTGGGAGAGAGCAAGAGGGATCCTATGGATTAAATGAATTTAGGATATTTTCTTCAAATCTCTGTTGCAGTGCCTACATGAGGATTCAAGTGTAATTGATTGTTCAGACAGTCTTGCCTGTGCCAATTCTTAAAGTGTGAGTGCTTGCCTTTGCAGTGCTAATAGTGTTTTAATGCAACTTCTGTAAGATCTGTCTTCAGATAAACATATGTGCATACATATGCTGTGATGTACATACACTTATACATGTATTGGATTCTATAACTGTGCTTAAACAAAAGGTTATGTTAGACTGCAGCATGGAATGAGACTGTTCAGTCAAAGTTAAAATATTAAAATATGGCTATTTTTACATGTTGCATTATTCCCCAAGGGTATGCAAACCCAATACAACTCCATAGTTAGGCCTAAAGGCTTAACTAGGATATGCTGAAATGCATACTTTAGAGGCAGCAGTCTTACTAAAACCATACTAGTATGTCCAATATTACGAGAATGTTTGTCCTTTTACTCATGCCTGGCCAGCCCATCACACTGTCCTAAAAGCATTGGTAACTTTGCATATCAGTTCAAAGGTGCTTGAGAAAAGGTAGAACACTGGGGTGTTTTTTTTTTTGCAAGAATTGTGCCCAGTATACAGTGAAGTCTCTCATCATCTTTGGAGTATAGAGGCAGGAATGTAGTGATAACTGGGGGTCAGTAGTAGGGCTGTATGAGCACAAGGGTGCAGTATGAAAGGATTAGAAGAAGGGAACCACTGAAATGCTAGGGATGATGTCTTACACAAGAGAATCTCTGAAGAGAGAATAAAAGTAATGTCTTAAACACATCAGGGATGTGTTTAAGGAGGTGTGGTAACTAAGAGGAAGTTTCAATAACCAAAGCGCTTGGATCTAATGTGATAATTCTTATGGTGGTAATGAAAAATTCCACCTCAGTATTATTTTGAAAATAAGACATGGAGTTTGGTGATCTCACAAAAAGGAAAAATGGAGTTTCATAGTGAGTTCTGGAATGTTTAGTGAGCAAAATCCTGAATGCGATTTTTAGACTTTGAGGGAGAGTAAGATTCCAGTAGGATTCATTGGGTGACCATGACTCAACAGTACAAGAGCCAGTAACACCTTCACATGGTCTGTCTCTACAGTGCCTTTTTTGAATCAGTGCTTGCCATGATTTACATAAGTTCAGTAACTGTCTGTCACCCATAATGCTCAATTGAAGTAACTGCTGTAAACTCAAGAAAAAATGCAGTACAATGGAAGACATTCAGATTTGCTCAAGTAATAAGCTTACACATTTGGTCAGAAATTAACTCTGAAACCTCAGGTATTTCTTAGATTTTACAGGAGAGCTTTTATTGCCATCTACTGGTCTAAATAAGCATTTTGCTTTTCTATGACCACCTTTGAACTGTTTGGAAAATGTTTGCTTACTGAGAAAATATTTTGAAGAGATTGTTTCAGTATATTCCTTAAGTAAGCTTATCTTTGGCATGGTATCAGACAAGCCTGTAGTTAGCTGTGTTGACATGCCAAAATTTATGAAAGGGGGTTCATTTAAACATCTGGAACCTGATGCACCCATAAAATGCACTAGAACACATACTTTGCTTTGCTAGAAATCAGCTCCAGGAACACACGAGTTTTTGTGCATATGCTATGCAGTGAGCATGTGTGCAAACACTTTGAAAACTGGAGTTGTCAAGATTTCTTTCCCCTTTCAACTCCCAAACTACTTAAAAATTGAATGGTACTCAAAGAAAAGCTTTGTCTTAATTAGTTTTTCATAATTTCTGATTATTTCAAAGCCCTCAAAAATTTGTAGGAAAGCTTGAAATATGTAGGCTTGATTTAATTAAGTCTGAACCAAGCCGTTGACAAGGTGAGATTAGCTATTTTGAAAATAGTTATGGAAGGGGTTAGCCTGTCTCAGTGTCTTCTTAAGGATTCTTCCTTCTTCTTAAGGAAGACACTGAATCTGTTGCCTCCTGATAAGATATCTGGGATGAATGTCTCATTTCTCTAAACTGGAAAGCCTTTTATATGTTTTTCCTCCCTACTCGGTATTAAGTTCCTAAGAACTAGATTTGAAATACTTTTCTGGAGGCACCCATGCCATTTTCTGGAGTCATTGCCAGGCTGCCATGTAACTCAGATCTAGAGTATGTTTCTCTTTTCTCAGATGAGCTAGCTGTTTGTATGAGCACTCACAGACATCCTGCAGATTTGGGGTGCTCAAAATATGGAGGATCAGCAGTGATGTATTGTTCAATTTGCTTAACTTTACTCATTGTGGTTGGAAGAAGTGGAAGGGTGACCTGACAGTGGTAGCTGTTTAAGTCCGTACATGAACATTTATAACCTTGCAGCTAAAGTATACAAAAGGCTTCTTGCACGATGATTAAATCTGAAGAAACAGCTGGGAAAACAAGATTTAGAAGCAACATATTTATTTAGGGTTTTAAACTGTGTATCATCTACTGAAGTGAAATTACAAAATCATGAGGTTTTTCTTTTCCCTACAGCACTCTTATGTCCGCTTCTGAGGATACCATATCCTAGCCATCCTAGTGGCTATTGTTTGCAGATCTTAACCAAAGCCTTTGTACTCACTGTCGCTCATATTTCTTGTTTTCTGTCTTTCTTCTTCTCTTGCAGCTTCAAGCCCCCAGCGTAAAAGGCTTTGATTTTGCGAAGCAGCATCTGGGTCAACACAATAAAGATGATGTCCTGATTATCCATGAGCCAGCCCCTTTACCAGGACCTATTAAGGACACTACCCCATCTGAAAATGGAGATGTTCCCAGCCCCAAATCCAAGACTTCCTCGAAACCTTCAAAGACCGTCCGACACAGAGGGAGGTCAGTTGACAGAGGAAGAAAAACAAGCTGTGGAAGATGAGTGCTGTTTACTGTATTTTTAGGGCAGTTTCAATGAACAGAAGTCAATTCCAGAGCTCTGGAATTTGTTTTCCACTGGGCCATTAGAGTTGTATGTAGCTTCAAATTGCATGAAGTTGTGAGAATTTGGCATCTGTTTTTCTCTTAATGGCAACATGCTCAGTTCAGAAGAGTGCTTAGGATGCAGCTAGGTTGGTTGGAGTCAGTTTATTACTTGTGTACTGCAAACACCAAGTGTGTACTTTCTCTTTGTGGCCATTCCTAGCTACCAAGGCAGCAGGTAATTAAAAACAAATAAAAAGCACTGACTGTTAGTGATGTGTTTCAGTGCTATTAGTGGTGACCGATCTATGCATGATAAGTCAGAATTTCCAGAAATAAGCATTATCTACAAAATTCAGGGAAGGTAAGTATGTTTTGTTGTGGCTATCTGATTGCTATCATAGCACAGCAGTTCTGGTCAGGAAAAAGTCTGGTAACTGACAGCTGTGCAAGTGGAGAACAGTTTGTCAACATTAAGCATTTATTTCCTTACGTTTTCCTTTAATCATATGATGTGAATGTGTCTTGCCAGAAGGGACTGCATTTTTAGGGTAAAAACTGTAACAGCTGTGCACTAAAGGAGGGTATTTTCATTTAAAAAAAAAAAAAAAAAAGGCAAAGTGGGAAGGCAGTAGGTAAGAAATAAAAGGAACCTGGAAGATAGGAGTGCTGTTATGAATCCAAACGGCTTCTCTGCAGAGCTCCTCTCTACTTCACTTTCCAATAATTCTTCTTTCTCACCCTCCCTTTCATATTTTTGCGCTCCTTTGTTTGCTGCTCTGCACTCCCCTGTGCTTTTACCTACATGCTGCTGCATTCCAGGATAAAAACAAGGGCAGCATTGAATGAGCTTAGAAGAAAACAGGGGTAGTTCTTCCTCAGCTGCACATCTTGCTCCTCTGCACAGCTTTCTGTGCCTCCTCTGAAGTCCAGCTGCTCTGAGGTCCTGGCTTCATCTTCCCCACATGAGCTTCATAAAACTCCATTTCTATGTTCCCAGGTGCTGAGTCTAACTCTGTATAGGCATTGAAAGTAAGAGACTAGTGATGATACAGTGGAATGTGGGCAATAATGGAAAATAACGGGGGGAAAAAAAACTAACTCATTTTGGTGTAGCTTAACTAAATTAATACAGATCAGAAGGATAAGTGTTCTTGTGTCTTTTTAAAAGATCAAAAGAGGTTTAAGACATCATTAGGAGAAGGGGACAATGTGTTCATACATGTTGGTATAAGCAACACATTTAACTTCGAGGTTATTACTGTACTTAATCTCAAATGATTCAGGAGAGGAAACAGGGAAATTTTTCAGAAGCTGACGTTTTAATGCTTTCCCAGAAGACAATAATAAATTGTTGATCAAATTTGGAACAACTATATATATTTTTAAGTTTCTAAATTCAACCACTTGAAAATGAAGAAGAGAATTTCCCTTCCCTCCCTCTTTCATCCTTAAAAGCAAACCTTTCTTCAGGCTTAGCTATGGAGATGTCACTATTGTCTACGTAACATGCTGACATTTCCACATCAGCTTCAAATTTAAAACACTTATTCCCCAAGGGAGAAGGTGAAATGTTAAATGACACTGTAGTGTATTTTGTTTTTTTTAGCTGTTTTCTGTTTTATAAGAAAATACAGAATTCTCTTCATCATAATGCAATTCAGGATTGTTACTGCATGCCAGTGCATGCAGTGGTGATGTGAGCACACATTCCATATCAGTGAAAGACAGTAAAAAAGAACAACAATGTGGATCAGAAAGCACAGCATCTCTAATCCCCAGCTGAGAGCTGGATCTGTTGTTTTGGCTTGAAAGGCTACAGCCATGTATTCTGCAGGACTTTAAAAGAATGGCTGGTGCTGGCCTGGCACTATTGTCTATTTCTACAATGTATTTAATGGTAATTTACATCTTACTGAAGTAAGAATATGAAGGAAAACAAGGCACAATGAGATGAAATGCACAGTCACTAGTGTATGAGGAAACAGCACCCCATTTCTTTCCAGTCTTGGAGAGAGCTTATAAACGGTAGAACGACTTTTTACGTGGTCTGATAGTGATAGCACTAGGGGAAATGACTTTAAGCGAATAGAAAGGAGAATTCAGTTAGATGTTAGGAAGAAATACTTTACTCAGAGGGCAGTGAGGCACTGGCACAGCTGCCCAGAGAAGCTGTGGGTGCCCCATCCCTGGAGGCACTCAAGCCAGGTTGGATGGGACCCTGGGCAGCCTGAGCTGCTGGGTGGCAGCCCTGCACATGGCTGGGGGTTGGGGCTGGGTGGGCTTTGAAGTCCCTTCCAACCCAAGCCATTCTATGATTCTTAGACTCTGCTGAACCAAGAAAAAAGACAATAGAAGAGAAAGCCTTGTCCATCTATTCCACATTAGAAAAGAGTAAATGATGCAGTGATACAGATCTGTAAGCTCACTGAGAACCATCTCGCTTTTTATTCCTGCTGATGCTTTTTAATTGGGATGTGACTTTATTAGAGTCATGCAGGGAAAAAAAAGAAGAAATACAGCATTTTATTATTAGTGGGGGAAAAAAAAAAGGGGGGATTAAATTCAGAGCATTGCCTGCTGAAAGCAGTAAATTTGACTTTCAGTGAATTTGGCTGGCTGGATGTAGATATCTCAGTTTGTGTGCTTTAGGCAGGTTGATATTTTGCTGAGAGCTTCCCTAACTAATGCAGATATGCATCTAGCCTGAGCAAATCTTGCACGTAACAAGGTTAATGCACAGGATAGTGCATAGATTGTGTAAATCGCTGAATTGATAGAATGATCTGAATGATCACTACAGAGACTATCACAAGTCTAATCCTACGTGGAAAGACAGGCATTGGTGCTAGCTGGGCAGTAGCATATACTCTACATTTTTGCTCTTTCTATATTATCTGAATAATTTTACAGCTGAAGTGTTCTTCTGGGGAAAATCATGGGATTTTTTTTTTTTTTTTCTCAGATTGTGTGTATAATTGCGAAGCAACACATTTTTTTAGGCGTCTCATGACTGCATGGGATAAATACATAAAAGTAGTGTGTCTGAATAGCTCTGTGTTTAAGTAGGCAGGCAAGTATGTGCATGGACTTGTAGTGTTAGCAAGAGAGCGCCAATTTACCAAGTTTGTGTATTAAAATAATTACCTGTGTAGTTTTCCTCATGTTAATATAATTCCTTTCTGTCTGAACAGTAACCCTGCTACTTGGTCACGTAATGTATTCTTGAAAAAATGTTAAAGGAAAGATTGGTAAGAAGTCTTGTTATGTGTGAGTTCTGTTGCAGTCAGTTTTCACACACAGTGACAGTAACATCATCACAATGAATGTCTGTGATGATTTATTATAAACAGAAGAAAATATTAGCAGCCTTTACAAGGCATATTAGCAGAAAATCCTTTGCTCGTGAGATCTGTATTCCGTTGCAAACTTATGTCACATGTTTGTTTGTTTTTTAACGTTTGCGGCAGAGTTTCACCATCAGATGCTGACTCCACTGCAAGTGAACAATCCAGTGGGAGAGAGACAGGGGAGGAAACTGCAAGGCCATCAGCTGTTACAAATGAGGGTAAACCGCGCAGAGCCACAAAGAAGGGTGTGTTACTTGTTTTTTTTATTGAAGAAAACAATACAAAACTTGTGTACATTAGCAGTGCTTTACTTAGCTGGGTTGAAGAGTTAATCTAGGGCCATTACTTCTCTGAAGCCATATTTGGCATTGAATCTACAGCTCATATAACTGTCTGCATGAATACTACCAAGCTGGCCACTGCAATTACTCCTAAATGGAAAGAGATTTGCTGGGGGCATGTGGGAGAGTGGAAGAAGGAAAGTTCACTCCTTGTGAGCCCTTACATGCAAAAGTTTGCTAGAATGAAATGTATGAAGGTCTTCTGTTTCAGTAGATGAAACAAAACCAAAAGATCCCTTTGTGAGGATGCTTTCATGATTGTGTTTTGGAAAGAGGAAAATCCAGAGCAAATACATCAAAAACAGTGAATTTTATTTTATTTTATTTTATTTTATTTTGTTATAAAGAACTGTCTTCTTAGCATTAAAATGCCACCATTTTCCTTGGAGGAGCCCTATGTTATATTCCTTTCTCCATTTTAAAGTTGATGGAAACACCACAAGATGTCTTGCCCTTTTTATTTCAAACATTTTTAAAATGTACACAAACAACAACAAAAAAAAGTACACAAACTTGCAGTGTTGCTTCTGAGAGCTTTTCCAGTTTTAGATGGCTTGATCCTTGCTTGAGGTTTTAGTTACCAGAACTTTGGCTTAAATTACAATCTTTGGGCTTTCTTAGAGAAAATTCTGGTACTGAATATGTGTTAAAGAAGCTTGTGATTTCACCATCTGTTCTTAATACATATGGCCTTGGTGGCAGCAGAAACTGAGAAGAGGAAAATATCATACTATGAGCAGCCTCTTTTGGTGTACTGAATGTTTTTCCATATATTATATGAAATATCTACTGAAGTATTAGATGATTACTGAGGAATGCAGTGCCAGTGAAATTCAGATCATAGCAGACATTCTTCAGTGTATGCCCGTGTTGAAGAAATGGGATTTATAAATATGTAAGACAGTCAATATAAAACACTAGGACTTTGCTGATTAAACCACAAATTGCATAGTGTGTGAGTCTTAAACTTCCATAATGTGTGCTACTCCTGGAAGAGCAATGGTGACAGAGCACATTTTGCTCTGTGACAAGAGCGCAAGAAAACAAAGTCAAAGATCTGCTAATGTGACTAGAAAGTTGTACTTCCTAGTAGATCAATGTGTACATTCAGCCAGCACTGCATGCTGTGCAGTTATAAAAAGAAGACGATGTATACTTTCAGTGCCTTAGGTTTGCTCTAAGGATGAGAAATCATACCCAAGTAAATATCTAGGAAAACAATTATACTATAATAGAGGTCATCTCAGACAGGCTGGTTGGTTTATGACTTGCTCTAGCCTATCTGACTTCAATTCTGTTGCCCTGATTTTGTACTGTCTCATTTCCTCTTACCTGGGGACTCCATTTTTGTCTCTCAGTTTTTCCATTTGCCTTAACACTTCATGTAAGGGTTAATAAGTCCTTTTGCTATAGAAATGTCAGATATTACCGTGCCTGCATTATCTGACTAAGGCAGCAAAAATATTATGTGAAATGTTTTTACCTATACTTGCCCTTACTGGATCAAACATACTGTGTCTTCATTGTTTGGTGCCTCTGGTTTGGCAATCACAGGGACTATTTTTACCATTCATAATTGGTCCCGCTGCCTGTAGAGGCCTTTGTGTCTGTTAAATGACAGATTCAGCTCCCGTTTTGCACAGCTGTGGCTTGGCAGTTGGATCCAAGTTTATGCATTTCATCCAAAAGTAAACACCAACATTGCTGTGTTTTTTCCACTTGCCATTCCAGCTGAATTATTTGTAATAATTACTGTGCTGTTTCTTCTTTTTCCTTTATGTTGTCAGGAACAAACAGAGTGGGTAAGTAACCAGAGCTAGTATACAAGTATGAATAGAGATGTTGGTGTAGCTGTAGACGTATCTTGAGCATGGAAGGATTTTTCACCTAAGAAATAAAACACAATTGCTTTTTAGCTATCAATGTATTAAAAGATCTCAAAACCACAACTTATAGCCATGCAATATAAACTGATTTTTCTGATTTTCTCCAAATTCTTTCAAATTATTCAACATTCTCACTATGAAAGAAGCAAAACTGTAGTAACTTGATCCTGAAATTTAGCATGGTATAAACAAGTTACAGATCCTTTTATTTAGCCTCCTTACTTAGACAAATGCAGGCTACTTGCTAAGAAACTTGAGTTTTTTCCTATGAAATAGTGTTTCAGTGCTCAGGACTGAGACATTGTGAAGATGGGACAGGAGAAAGCTGGCACTGTCTTTGAGAGTGAATACCATACCCAGCGATAAATTAAGGGCTGTGGTCTCTAATAGCAATTTCCATTTTATAATAATAGGGATGGATGGGTGTAAGGCTGTCTATAATGCTTTCCATTCTTAGTTTTGTATACTAACTGAAAAGAGTCATGAGCGAGACACATAATCTACACATAATCACAAACTGTGTGAAACTCGTATGAGAGTGCATAAGGTAGGGTGACTCAAATTTCTGTGGATCAGTAGGAGATTCCTGTTGGCCTCACATGATTTTGGATTAAGCTTTGTACACCTTGGTTGCTGTCTCTTGCCTTCATCTGTCTCCCACTGCATTGGTTTTCGTTTGAAAACAGCATCCTACGGAGCAATTAATTTTCCTGACACTTGTATAATTAGCCGTTTCAACCCAGGAGTATTGATCCTGATACATGATCTATGTGAAGTAGTTATTTAAAGCTGTTTTGTCCAGTATTTCGGTATTAATTCCTCTACATTTTTTGTCAACCTCAACTGTCTGGTAAGAGATCAAATTTTCTGTCAGGTAGTGCCGTCTTCTAGCTTTGTAAGGAAGGATTTCTAATGATGAAAAATAGTGCAATATAAATAATTTGAAATGAGAAATCATTCACTGTCAGATCTTACAAAGGAATTCCTGTTAGGTTTGAAGCAGTTCTCACGTATGCTGACAACACGGTACAATTCTGGGTTTTCTTACATACTTTTCTGTATATATACAGAATATAATACATGATATATAATATATATACAGTATAATGCATACTGTATTTCCATCTCGATTTGTTCTTACAGACACATTGAGTACATGTACATGCAGAGAGGATTTAAAGACCAGGGGAAGCTTAGACTTCTATTTTGCATCTTTTCTACAGAAGAGAGTAGCATTTAATGTTACTGTAGAGCCTTACCAAAATTTGGTAGTGGGACTTTCAGATATTTTTACAAAATGAAAACAGTTGCAGAAGAGTCATCTGCCAAGCACCTGTTTATTCGCGTAAACAGGAAGGTTATGGATTAAATGATAAAGAGTCATTGGAGATGCATGACTGGGCCTTGCTACCATAAGAGCATCAAAAATAAGTTTAAAATGTTCAGTTGGAGGTCTGTAAGCTTTGAGAACTGCTGCTAGACTGTGAAAATTGGAAAAATTGTTCATATGTGGGGAAAATGGGAAAGAAGGCTGCAGAAATTCAGATTTTTGCTGCACTACAGGATTACTCTGAGGAACTTGTAGTAATTGCTTGTATCTCTGTAAGAGGCAATGCTTGTATGCTTCTAAGAAATGCATGAAGATGAGGCCCATTAATGATTGTAGAGATGACAAGTGATAAAGATCATATAAATAGACCGTGCTGAGACGTAATTACATTTCATTTAGGCTTTATGCCTTGCAAAATGTCTGGGGACAAATCTTGAATGGAACTATTTACCTTCTCTTTAAGGACACTTGATGAATAAGAAAGTCACATTTATAAATGATGTACGTAATAATGCAAGGTATGAATCATTTATAAATGTGTATATTTGACAATGCATTGATCAAGATTGAGAAATATGAAAGCTGACAATTTTGCTTAGTATGTGGGCAGTTTACTTTCCATCTGATGTCAATATAATGAAGTATACAATTCCTTTTGCCTCCTGCTCCCTTTTTGTGCTAGGGAAGGAAGGAGCAAGTCTCCTGCTGTAGTCTTCTACAGACAATGGCTTTCAGTCTTCTTCTGAACCCAGTGCTTTGTTAGGGTTAGTGATCAAATCTATTGTCATAGCTGTTTTCCTTTCTGTCTCTTATACCCCGTCTCTTGGGTCATGTCAATCAACAACTGAAAGTGTACAGTCATATTCTTTTTTCTTCTGATTTGAACCAGAGAACCATAGCCTGTTAATAGAAATCCACATGAGGTACCATATCACTGTACTGTGTTGCACTCATCCATTGGAAGAATCACAAACTGTAGTCTTTGATTATAATTTATGGAGAAAATCAGTTTATCAACTTGAGAATTTGCAGTGTTACCTTGCAGACAACACAAAATACTACTTTTCACATCTTTTTTTTAATTCTAGTCCACATAACAACTGGTGTTGTAGGCCTCACTCCAACAAAAAATACAAAAATATGTTTTATGTGCTTAAGTGCAAACCACTGTGTTGTTCCTACAAATTTCAAGTTTAAGGGAGACAGCCTATTCCTGGTATAGTATTTAACTGTTGCCTGATTCAGTTGGAGTTGGCAAAACTCTTCAACAAATTATTATGTGGCAATATTTGTACAGCTTCCACTTAGAATGTGAAGTTTTTATCCTGTCACAAAGAAGCAAACAGTGCTTTAAGAGCTTCAATCAGTAAAATGTCTGTAAAATTCTTTGTGTGAATTTTTCAGACTTTTTTGTTTAGTTGACGTATTGCTATCACTGAATAACTGCATTTTGCAGTGTGACATCTTTTACTGCTCTTGGAAATTCCATTTGTGGAATTTGCATCTCCATAAGTACTGAGGAACCATTAGCAGGATGTGCTTGAGAAGCCTTTTATGGACCAAAGCACACTGAGATTTTGAGGATTTGCAAATGCCAAGAGTTTGATTTACAGAAATAAAGAATGATGGCTCATCTTCTGAAAATGTAGTGAGAAAATGTTTGTAATTTGCAAACTGCTGGGCAAACTTGTACAATAAATGCGAATCAGATGGAAGGCCTATAGGGTAAATCAAAAACAGACAGAAAACATGGCAAAATCTCATAGCATAGCATCTGTAGAGCTTGTCATTTGACTGAGATAACCTTAGCAGCACTGCTTTACTCTTTACTTGTTCTGGTAATTCAGGACCCCCTCAGAGCAGCAGTGGCAATGAGCAGCACTCCTCAGCCTCTATCTTCGAACATGTGGATCGGATGTCACGTTCCTCCGATGCCAGCAGACGGGTCCCAAGCAAGATCCAGCTGATTGCTATGCAACCAATGGCAGCACCTCCAGTTCAGAATTCTGTGCTTTCTGATCGAGTAGCAGAGACCAACAAAATTAATAAAGAGGTATTTCTTAAGTGCTTTGAGTGCTTGTGGAGAACTGTATGCCTAACCAAATGGGAAGTGAAAAGATCCAGTTTCCTGTTATCAGGAGTTCTCATTAGTTCCAGTGCAGTTGAATTTTGACAAGTTACAGGAATAATCTTGTTTCCATCCAGAGAGATTACGTGACCTGTTATAAGTGCTACCTAATCTGAAACTTAAGCACAAAGAAAGAATTCTTGACAGAATACATTGTGTGATCATCCTTTTGCTAGTTGGTAGGGTATGATTTACAACAGAGAGTTGTATAAGAGCTGAAATGTCTATCTCTGAAACATTGGGTTTCATTCTGCATCATTCTTCTGGCTTTTCAGCAACTCAGGATATGAATTATACAAACAAGTTATTTTAGGACATCCTAGAGTGTGAATTTGCAGCACAGAAATTGCTTCCAACTTCTGATGTGTTTATCTGACAGTAAACATACAGAAACTTCCTTCTCTGATGCTCAGATTGCTGTAAGCAGAATAAGAGCATGCCTGGGGCACTAGGAGAGAAAGATAATGTGTTGTAAAACCACATCATAACTGCCTGACAACACTGCATATCTGCACCGTGGTTTTGTATGCAATGTAAGATGGCATCTTCCCATAATTCAGAGAGGAAGACTACTGAAAGCTTTAACTTCACTGTGTTAAGGTACTGTGTTTCTCACTAACACACAGAAGAGAGGAAGATGTAGTATACATAGGCAAGAGGGACCATGAGGTATACATCTGATTATATTGACAGAAGAATGATAAAATTCTAACTATAAATGTAAAAAAGTCTGGCTTGCATCCCTGTAATGCCTTTGGGGGATTTTCATTAGAGAAATCATAAAAATCAATTTTAATTGTTTTTTAATTTACTGCTGCTGTGTTCCCAAATGAGTCCAGCACAGGCAGAGCAGTTGTTGTGGACTGATCTGGCGCCCAGGTCTTTTTTGCTGGTAAGAATGATTTTAGTGAGCATTGGGCCAGAAAATACAAGTACGGTATTACTGTATCATTCCCCAGATGATGAGATGCACTCCAGAGAATCCGACAAAAGACTGGAAAGAGGCATAAAAGCTCAGTCTGCAAGAAGCTGTAGAGCTGGCAATACTATGTTTGTCTGGGGACCTGGGGTCTAGTGTTGCTGCTGCAGTTCTCCCTAACTTGTGGCAGCTTTGTATGTACAGCAGAGAGATTAGTTAACAGCTTAGATTCCTGTCCTTAATGGAAATGAGTGGCAAACTTCAGCATTATTGATCAAATATCTCTGTTTGACAGGCAAAAGTAGCTTGCGTTGATCAGTCTTATTTTCTTAGACCGGTATCACTTCACAAAAAGGTGGTCTCACCTTTTTGTGTTTCTCTTGCCATTTATTAATGAATTACTACCTCTCTCTAATTGGGCATGCTGTTCAATTACATATAATCCTATTATGTATAATATCACATCTACACAAGGAGGTATCCAAGAAAGAAAGCATGTTTACAATTTGTATGATTTATTTTGATCCATCAGAGATTTTTTTTAAGGGAATGGGATCAGACACTGAGGTGAGAAGGAGAGGTTTGCAGAAGAGCAGCAGAAAGTTCAGTTTGCAAAATCCACACATAAAAATGCAGTTGATTTTCTTCCTCCTTCTTCTTTAAGATACAGACAGCCCTAAGGCATAAATCTGAGATTGAGCATCACCGCAACAAGATTCGTCTTCGTGCCAAGCGCAAAGGGCACTATGAATTTCCAGTTGTGGATGATGTGGTGGTGGTTGACTCCAAAGAACAGCACAGAATATACCGCAAGGCACAGATGCAGATTGACAAGATCTTAGACCCTGGAGGAAGCGTGCCTACAGTCTTCATAGAGCCCAGGAAAAGGTAGGGGTTTCAAAGATGGGAAAGATCAGTTTTCTTTTAAGGTCAGAGTCCAAAGGATATCAGACTTTTACTTCTGAACTTTCAGAGCTTAGAGTCATTTTGATCCTTAGTTGACTTTGAGTTGGTTAGACAAAAGGGTTGGGATTGTTCTAAACATTTTTATTTGTTTCAATGTATGTCAGTTTATTTTGTTTTCAAATGCGTTCTTCTACAAGTTTTCATGGGTGAATTCTCAAAAAAAAAACAACAAAACACAAATGTATGAAAACTGTCTTAAAACATTTTAGCGTTTGCTCTGCCATTGATTTACCTAATTCTTGTGTGGTGTAAAGAGATCAAAATTACAACATAAGTACTAACAAAGAAACAGGGAAAATGTGGACTGCAAGAAGTAGCATTTTTATAATGACTGTAAAAAGATCAAAAATAAGGAAAGCCTTGAACAACTTAAAGAACGTGAAGATTCTGAATTTTAAGGACAAACTCACAAGCAGAGATAACCTTTTAAATATTCCTTCTATAAAAAGGGGCATATTTGACAGCGTCACAAATCCACCTTCCCGGGCCTGTATTTCCAGAGAAGGTTTTCTCTGGGCTCTGTCTAAGGCTTAATAATACTGAAGTACTATTTCTAGAGGGCTGTTACCTGCTACTGCTTCCACATTGAAGGAGAGGTGCTTTTCTCCAGACTATGTTCTTCAGCTGGTTTACAATGGTACAGTTAAACACAACATACTAACCAAGCACAAGGCCTCATTGCTGGTGTGGTCTGTTTTGCTACTGAAAATGTGTCAGATATTGGGCTGGGAGGTGTGGAAAGGTGGTAGGGGAGGCTTAGAAGATGGTTGTAGAAAGATGGTTGGTGGAGTCACCAAGCCTGGGGGTGTTCAAGGAAAGGCTGGATGTTGTGTTGAGGGACATGGTTTAGTGGGAGCTACTGGGAATAGGTGAACGGTTGGACTGGATGATCTTGAAGGTCTTTTCCAACCTTGGTGATTCTATGATTCTATGATTCTATGGTGACACTGTAGAAAGTTTGGGTGAGGAGGGAGACAGTTTGGGCAGCTGTTGCTATAGCAGTGATAGTGTTGTTAGGAGAAACTTGAGGAGAGGGGTTTGGGACTGACTAGTGGGACTGGGATGAAAAGCTGGGAGAAGGAAAAGAGCTGAGACAAGGATTACTAGGATGGAATGGGCAGAGAAGCTCAAGCTTGAATGGGGTGAGAAGAAACTACAAAAAGAAATGTGATTACCTTTGTCTTGTGGTTTTTTTTTTTTTTTTTTTTTTTTCCTCTCTCTGCCTTTTTGTTTTCTTTGTATTCAGCTCTCGCGCAAAACGTTCTCCAAAGCAGCGCCGGCGACATCAGATAAACGGTAGTCCTATCGATGCGGAAAAAGACAGGTTGATCACAACTGATAGTGATGGGACGTACAAGCGACCTCCAGGAGTCAATAACTCTGCGTATATTGTATGTATGTCTTGAATGACAGGAGGGTTCTGATGGCTGTAATGGCAGTTGTGACGTGGGAAGGATTTATTCTTTCTAATTGTGATCTGTGTGGCTAGTTTCAGGCATATGTAATTAACATGTAAATCCAAGTGAAACAAACACTTCATTGGCAATTTGTCAGTATGAAGCCATGAAATTCTGCCAACTATTCCTAGAAGAAGCCAAGAACTAAAACTATGTTTTCATTAATGCCACTGTATTATGCACATGAAAGTGTGCTTGGCACATTCCACAGTGCGTTGAACATAGCTTCGCTCTAGTCCAGTTTGCTGCATGTATGTATTCATATATTACAGCAAAATAAATCCTTTGCTCTCCCAGAGTGAAAGATTTTGTTCTTTTCATGAGAAATTTTATCATCTTTAAAATCTGTGAATTAATCATTAATGAAAGGCTAGTATGACTTTATACCACAGTTACTTAAAATAATTCCGGTACAGTGTCTCAACAACTAATTTTATGTTTTCCTGTTTAAGAAACACTTCTGTTCAGTCATATCCATGTCAGAAACTGTATTTAGGCATTTTTACCCATTTCAAAGCAGACTTTACTAAGTGTAATGCCAATATTAAAAAGCTCTGGACAGTGTTTATCTTGAAAGATGATTTAATAACTTCAAGAACTTCACCATTAGCTGCAAATGCAGTCAAGTGGCTGTAATGCTGAATTCTGTGGTCCCCCTCTGCATTCAAACAAGAATGTGGTGATTTTAATGTCATGCTGCAGCAGAATGAATTATCATCTGAATTAAGACTTGTCACACAGTGAGATCAGCCCCTTTGACATCTGTAGCGAGACAGTACTCAGAATGCTAAGTTCCTGATGAAGTTGAGGCTTTTGCATCTCTGTGATTGCATCTCTATTTTGCAGTCTGCGTACAGTGGCAAGAATGAGCTTAAATAGTAATTCTGCTGCTACAAATGTTTAATTTCCTGTTACTGATAAACAATAGACCCATGTGGTAAGATCCCAGGTAGTAATTGCAATGCATGCCTGAGGTATTACTGCAATGAAGCACTTACGTAAATCCCATTCAGGTGATGCACCCAAGTTCCATGCAGCTAACCCCTTAACTTCTTATCAGTTCCCTTTGCATGCTTTCCTGGAGGGTAATAATTGCTTAATATTACTATTGATGTGATCAATTGTAAGCTAATTTCTTGGACCTGAAAAACTGCGGAGGATTCAGAGATGTGGACAGTCTTGTCTGAGTGGAAAAAATGCTCAAAGCACGACTTCACATGTGTGCTTGCAAACTGTGATTTGTTATACCTAAGGAACTGCTGTGCCACGCACTACTGCCATATTGCCAATCAGGGCATTTCAGATCACACTGAATGAAGCATATGTGCAGCTGGTGTCATGTCCGTGCGTGTGTAAGCAGGGAGGGTAAGGGACAGGTTTTGTCCAGCGCTGGTACTTGGGTTTATTTCATCTCATTCTGGGTCTGGCAGGGGAACATTGCTCACTTCTGATTGGGAGCTGGTTGCTTGATCTTCTGGCTGGCTGCCCTTTACCTTCTTTATGTTTTCTCCAGTCTGATCCAGATTTGCCTCCTGAACCTCAGACGTCATCTTCAGCAGATCTGGGGAAGTTCCCCGGCCTGCCGTCCCACCCAGTCTCCCAGTACGTCCCACCACAGCCATCCATAGAAGAGGCTCGGCAGACCATGCATTCGCTCCTGGATGATGCATTTGCCCTGGTGGCCCCCAGCAGCCAAGCAGCCAGCTCCACAGCTGTCACACCACCCGGGGTCTCTGCAGGACAGCCGGTAAACAGCAAGCCTGCATGGGCAGGGAGGGGAACTGCATGCTCCCAATGGGGATCACCTTATGGTCCATCTCAGGCAGTAGAAAATGCTTTCGATGTGAGTCATGTCATGTGTAAGCCTTTTCTGGACAGGTGGTTAGCACCAGTTGAGTCACGATTGCTGCTGTTACGCCCTTTCTGAAAGGACTTTGCACAAATATGAAATAGTTTCTTGAACAGGAGAGCTCAGAAATGACCTTCACAATATGGTGAACTTTTGAAGCCGTTTGGATTTTTTTTCCCCTTTTCCAATCCCAACCACAAAATAGTTCTCTTTTAGAATAACTTCTGTGTTCCTTTTCAGTTATGATCTGAAAAAGATCACCTTTTGATCTGTTTGGTTTTTTTTTTAGTATAGGTACTAGTATAGTTTGTCAGTGAAAAAGGATTGGATTGGTTTTAAGTTATATTTTCCAGAAGAGCATCCAAATGCTTTCATCAAGTGAGGAGTAGAAAAGCAGTATTTCTGTGTGAAGTTTTTTGGATTTCATGGAACACTGAGACACTGGATAAAATTTTAGCTTGTTTCAAGTTCCATAACAATTCAGTCGAGATTTCAAAACCCCACTGGACTCCCGAGTCCAATCCCTGTGGTATCTCTGTTGCAGTCTGATGATGATTGGAGATTTAAAGAGATTTGCAAATGAAAAGTTTAATTTGCTGAAAGTTTTAAGCTAAATAGACATTGGAGCAGTGCTTGATCTGTGAGTGGGAAGAGTGTTTTTGAAAGGTTTTTAAGTTGCTTGTAGACCCTGATCAGACAAAAGACTCTGCTGTCCCACTGTAACAGTGCTTCTCTGACCTTGTGACACTGGGTTTGTAGAACCAAACTGTCGAGCTTGCAGTCCAATCACATACATAGGCCTAGTGATCTCTGCAATTCATCGCTTGAAAGTCTGGCAGTGGACTTCCCGGGGTATACATTTTAATTCATTTGGTTTCTTTCATACAACAGAGATACGTGGAATTTGGAATGACTCCGCCAGCAGCACCAGGTCTCCTACCAAGGTAGCGTTTCAATGATGGAATTATCATATTCTATTTTCTTTGCATTTCCTCCTCCAGAGATCTTACTGGCACAGTTATATTATTATGCAAAGTATGTTATAAATGAAAAGTAACGGGAATCCAGATCCAGCCTGTGTAATTTCTTTATGTGATGTGAATGACATATGTATACTGTGTGGAATTCAAGTCCCCACTGAAAAAGAAATGTGTTTCTAGCCCCTTGGCTGTGGAGATATCGTTTCAAATACTGAGTAAACCACTGAGTTTCAGGTTTCAGAGAGCCTGAGTTACTCAGATGCATGTATATCTCCCAGTACTCTTGCTTTCATCTTACTTATCCTGAGGCCACCTCGGGATAGCACACACTGATGCAGATGACTAACAGATTCATTCTATTTCTAACCAAGTTGAGAACAAGTTTCAGAGTGTTGTGACCCTCATAGTGAAAGCATGCTTTGCAGGCCTATTGCTGTATAATCAATGAGAAACAAATATTCCATCTTCTGGACTTACTTTGGGAGAATGACGTAAAGAGAAGAAGCAGTTGTCCCAGTGATTGCTGTTTGGTGTCTTTGTGCTAACAACACATGAAGTTAGACTCTTGAGTCACAATGTGTACAGGGGTCACATTTGTCACAGACTGTCTATGCCACAGTAACCAAACTGGCGAAAAAGGCGTCTTTCTGCTGCTCTCTCATTACATCTCATCATATGCTCTGAAGCACCACTGGTATCCATGTCATTCATAAAATTCCACCTCATCTTTACTGCCTTGAAAATGTGATGATTCTTCAGCTACAGAATGGATATTAAGAACATTCCTTTATCCTTTGTTCTGCAACCCTATTTTGGAAGGGCCTACTAGAAAAGGAGTAGTCTGCAAGCACATTTTCTCAGTTCTTGGTCAGAGCTGACTATTTCAGTTACTGGGAATTATCTCTTTGTTTTCCTGTTACAGGTTCAGAGAAAATATGAGAAATTAATCATGAAAGTGCTGTAACCCATGTTACAGATAGCACCTTTGCAATATATTTTTTGTTCAAAAGTTTATCAGCCCTTGATATTGGCACTCTGGATTCCCATAAAAAGATTTCTTAAAGCTGGGTCGGTAAAAGACAAGAAAAGGCTTTTCATGATTTTGCAATGGGGCTTATGCTCATATTCAGAAGATCATTGTAAATAAACTGATAGAAGCAGCACACTAATCGGAGGAAGAAAAATGGATCTGCAGTCAGTATGGTTAGATGGCACGTATCAGTGAAATAGTCCATTGGCTTAAATATACAGTGCATAGAATAGTTGGGTAATCTACTGTTCCCTTCTCCGTACAAATGCAGTCATCATCTTTAATGGGCTGGAACCAACTTGGATAAAAAAAAATTGTATGTGAATAACCCAGGACACATAACAGCTGTACAAACATAACAGTACAATCAACAACTTTTACCAAAAAATGAATGTTGCATAACGCCACAGAGATAGCTAGCCATAGTGTCTCACTGGTTTAAAATTGATCTGGGGGACAATCGCTCCACAGCTAATTAAACAGCTTGAGGCTGAATCATTTTTTGCATGTGCTAAGCTACTGCTGGTTCACAGTCTGGAAATAGGAAGTAGCACTGGCAAGCCTGAGTGATACAGATTGTCCTGTTTTGTATACTTTTGTTGACCTCTGGTTAATATTAAAGAGTAGTTGTATCTATCTACTAAAAAGAAAATTGGAAAGAGAAGTGGTGGGTTATTAAACTTGCACCTTTCAATTACAAACCCATCAGCAATAAGGAAATACTCCCTGGCCTTTCAGAAAAAATGACAGAAAAATAATACATTCTCAGTAATGTTGAGAAGACTATTTTTAAAAGACAGCATCAAAAAATTGTAAGTCTGTTAAGACTCAACTCTGCACTGTAGTTGAATGATTGCATCCTTACTGTTTAGAGCAACTAAAATAACAGAAGTGATGCTGTTAAACATTACCTACCCATTCAAGCATTTATTTTAATGAGCTTGTAAACCTGACTGAAAATAGTTCCTTCTCAATCCACTGAGTGGACAGTTGGGAATGTATGCAAGGGAGCTGCAGAAATTCTGACACTTCCACAATGGGACTGCTGCAGTTTGAACCCCTTACACATCCTTCATGTAAATACCATGTGTCAAGTAGCTGGTACTTTATTTTACAACTACTTGTTCTGGCCTTACTAGGTTCTTATTTGGTTTTATTTCACTCTATTATTATCTTGGCTTTCTTTGTTATTTGCTCATCATACAAAGGTGGTCAGCTTTTCAAATAGAGTGCAAATGAAGAAAAGATTGAATTAGATTCAGACATGGAACTTCACTGTAAGAAAAAAAAAAAAAGAAAAAAGAAAGGATGTAAAAGGAGGTGTTGAAAGATGGGATAGGTGATAGATGGCAGTCAGTTGTCATGAAGAGTTTAGGTGCATCTGTGTTAAAAGGGAATATAAAATTAATCCCATCTTCATTTTGTATAACCTCATGTGCCTGACTTACGATGTTCATCTCTTTCTTTCTTCATAATTACCTGTGAGAGACAGCCTCCTGCAGAAAGTGATTCAGTGAGCCTAACCTTTTGCCTTGAGTGCCTGTAATACTTGTTGAGGAGCATGTCTCTTTTCTTTAACCATACCTGGAATCTAGGAAAGATTAGCCTAATAACCTAAGCTCCTACAGTTTAGGTACTCACACGTCCACCATATTTAAAGGAGCTGATAATTCTTGAACACTCAGTTGCCATCATTCTTTAAAATATAACCCCACCGTGTCAGGGTAAAGATGTGCTCCTAGGAAGCATAGGGAAAGCAGCATTTCCCTCTCTGTCTCTATTCCCATTCTACATTTCTTTTACCAGTTCCATTACATTGGCACGAGTAATGAGGAAAGTTCAACAGCGGTTTCTGTTGTTAACATTGACTACAACCACCTGCCTGAATTATAGGAAACATTAGTTTTAGGATATGTTTCATCTCTCTTCATGTGTGCCAATGACAGTTTTCTGTAGTTTGATAAATCTTAAGGAGCAAGCTTTTGAAAATTTCCTGGAGAGTGATCAGAAGAAATCGTAACAGTTTATGAAATACACTTGTCATGCAGAATGAGTGGTTTGACTTAGAACTAAACTGTGAGCCTGGCAACTCTTGAGTGAGAGTTAGATGCATTGCTACAGTAAGCAGCTCTGTCACTACTTTCTGCATGAAATCTGTTTTGTTCTTTTCCCTGAAGATTTTTTTCCCAAGGGAAAAACAAGATCTGCAGGATTTCTCCTCTGCATTGAAGAAGCTGTAGCTTGTAAAAATGCTTGCATGAAATTCTTGGTAGAGCTTCTAGCTCATTTCTATCTGCAGTGTAGAACATGGGGGATGAATGTACTCCTCAGACTTTTTTTGTATGTTTAAGATAAAAACATAGTTCAAAGACATCGTAAGCAGACATTGGAGGAGGTATAGTGATATTAATTAGGCAGTTTTCTTATTGTAATCCTGAGTCCTCACTGTTCCACAGGCAGAACTTTGGGCCAGGTTTTCTTCAACCTGCAGAGTTAATGCACCCAGACCAGCAGCCGCCTGAGGTTCAGTATTCCTCCAGAGGGATATACTCAGAGGAAATGCCGTCGGTGGCACGACCGCGACCAGTTGGAAGCACTGCAGGTACACTTCTTGAGTTGAACACGCAATAAATAACAGGTCCCTTTCCTTATCTCTTCTTACACTGAGATCGCTATTAAGGCATCATTGTTCTTCAGCTGCTATACTCTAAATGTGGCCCTCATTTTCAGTGCTAAAAAAAGCAGTCCGATGGAGAGGTTAACTCTGCATTCACGTGGCCTTGCTGAAAAAGGCAGTACTTTGCCACTTTTTTTTAGTGTCTTACAAGCAATGGTTATCACACAGTGTATTTAAAAAATAAAAAAAGCAACAACAAACCTGTTCTCTAAGAATGGAAAATTCTTAGTGTATGGTGCATGTTGACTTTCCACTGCAGACCACTCTGCTGTTTTTGCTAAATGAGATAATTGATGCATCCCAAATAGCCTACTAAATAAAAACGGTAAATGAATGTTTTTCTGCATCTTTATTTTGCATTTCTCTTCCTAGAAATATATGTATAAAAACAAGATCTTTTAGTTTCTGAAGATATTACCTCTTGCTGACTTGGTAGTGAGATAATTTCTGTAGTGCTCATCAGCTCTATCATGAATAAAATTCTAACATCACATGGCAATTAAGCAGCAAACACTGCTTCTAAAAATAAAATATTCTATTCTTATGCAAATGCCACAGTTAATTTTCTTCCAGACAAATGTTTTCTTCCTGGGGAGTTGAAAAAGACTAAAAATAGTCGTATACTTCTGAGTCCTATTTTTGATATCTGTTCTCCTCTGTTAAATGCATGACTATTACAGTTCTATGATTATTTTATTCTCTGATTCACACTATTCTCATGCATCTTCTGCAAAGTTGGGGCTGGATTCAGATGATTATTAACTGTCCTTCAGCATAAGTAGCTATCTTGCTTCTTAAAGATTGGTTGTTTATTGAGGGAAAAGATGAAGGAATTTTACAACACATAAATCAGACTGGTTTTTGTCTTTTCCTCCCATTTTTGTACTTGTGCATGCACATGTGCACAGTTATCTATTATTTATCATTGGGTTTATTAGATGTGTCTAATTTCCAATATATTCTTAAAATAAATGTTGTTTCCTTGTGGGAGGAAATTCAGGAAAAAGGAAAGCTGGCATGTTGTTGCACATGTCTTAAAGTTAATGACAATAGCTATCCTTGGATATGTTTGAAAGCAGTAGAGGGTGGAGGGAAGTTAGAAAGGAAGGGGTTAGCTTTCAGCCTGGAAGGAGATACAGTATGTTCTGACCTTCTCGTTAGCCAGCGACAGCATCGTTTAATATTTAACCATGAAGGAAAACTGAAATAACTATACTCTTATATGGTCGTGTATTGAATTCTTGTGAGAGATGGGACAGAAAGCAATCTAGAGAGTCAGGATGTAGCAGGGTGAGGTAAATAAGGTATACCACAGCAGCAAATACCTTGTCTTTGCTGCTAAGTAATTTACATTAAAGCATTGCCAGGGTTTTCGGTAAGTGCTAGTTAAAAAGGGTTGGCATGTTTTTGGAATGATGTGCAGTGTGCGTCTGAGATGCATGTATCTCAATCTCTTCCTTCAGTGCAGTGACAATAAAAAACACTACACTCAGATGAACTGCACCAAATGCACATAACTTTTCCTTCTTTGTTCTACACTCACAGCCTTCTTTCTGCTGATTTTTTTTTTTTTAATTACACAGAAACAGAGCTCCACTTTCTTCTTGTCTCTGCTTCCAACAAGGTTTTATGTTGTCATTTGTCTGCCCTACAAACTTGACTGTGTATAAAGATGAAAAAAACAATATTTGCTTTTAAGGTTCTCAGATACAGCACCTCACTCAGGTGGGAATTGCTAGCAGGATCGGAGGTCAACAAGTGGAGATCCCCTCAGGCAGAGCAGGGCATGGCCAGCCGGGGGGGCCAGGGTGGCCCCAGTACCGTGGAGAGGATGAATATGCTAGGCGAGATGCAGTGAGTACTGTGTTACACATTTGCATAGTTTCCAAAGTAGTGATATGTTCGGGTATTTTTTTTCCTGCTTTACTGTTTGGAACTTTTTTCCCTTGGAATACTTTGAGTTGCTTCTCTGACATTCTTTGCTTTGCTCTTCGAACCTTTGTTAGTTCTTCTGACTTTTGCTTGCCGTTCTTTCACCTTCGCTTCTCTCTAATTGCTTTCTCCCACCTTACCTAACCTTTTTTTTTCTCACTCGAGGCCTTCATTCATTAATTGCAGTTCACCCAGTTCTGCTTCTGAGCACCAGCAGAGGTGGATACTGCTTTCCATTTCCTTCTTTGAAATATACCTCTGTATTTTGTGATCATTGTAAGTAGAAAACATTGAATTACATTGTCCCAGACTACCCTTCTACTTTGTATTGGTATAGTTCTTTTGTCTTCTGTATCAGTGCACAACAGACAGCAAGAGTTGGGGCCACAAGATAAAGTATATACTTGCACGTGGCAGTGCAGGTGCTCTTAGACAAATTATTTTCCTTTCTCAGTCAATGGGATGTAGTAAAATCATACGCATTCATTAATCAGTATTACCAATGCAGCCATCATTACTTCATGTTCTTGGCTATGCTGCTTCTGGAGGTTGATGTTTCTGATTCAGCCTGATGTGCGGTGAGGTTGAAGATGCTTCTTTGCCTAGGAAAGATCCAGTTGCCTGCCACCAGTGATTGATGAACTTGCATCTTGAAGCAAGCTGACCTGTGACCGCTTTACTCTAGTGATCTTGAGAGCAACAGCTTTCTGCCCCTTCTTTTTTCTCTTGTCATAACTATCATTTCTCCAGTTTCTTCCTTGAATGAGGGAGGAAAGATCTTCTTTTGCATATTTAGGCCATTGTGTGTTCACTCTACAAGAGTGGAGTTTTGTAGTTGCTTTGGGGTGCTTCATGATTTCAAAATGGCTTTACAGAATGACATTGCAACAGTATGGACCTCCTCTTTAGATTTTGATGAAACAGAGCTCCTGCATCTCCAGCTGAAGTTGAGAGAAGCAGAATAAGGCTTTCAAGAACTAGGCACACTAGAGATAAACTCTACTGCTACTGTTCAAAACCATTAACTGTCAAAGCCAAGAAATGTATTTCCCTAATTTAACTTGCTATGTGTGCTTCAAACTGTGGTATTTGAATTTGTGAATGTTCTCATTTCCATTTACATCTAGAAAAGCACTCGCATGAGAGGTCTTAGTGTCTTTTCTTTACCATTTTCAGAGGCATCTCTAGGTTACCATTCATTGCCCTTTCATATCATTTGTCTTTCATTTCTGAAAATTACTTTCTTTTTTTTTTTTTTTTTTTTTTTAGATCTGTGGACTTTTATCCCTGAAGACATATTCAGTCATTACTTTCTTAATATTTTATTAGCTAAATTGCTAACATATTATGAAAATTCACTCAGGGCTCCATTTTCTGAGATGTTACGCAAACAATTGATTTTGACATTCAATGCCTGTAATACTTTAAAAGAGTAGAGGCTCAATACAATGTGAACTTGTTCTGTTACCTTTTCAGATGGGTACCTCTCACCTAAATCCAAGTTCACATTCTTTTAATCAATATGAGTTTAAACCATTCCTCGGCTTTGACGAAAATTTCTGTTTGCTGACTGCTGAAGTTCATTACTGCATTGTGTCTTTTTCTGTTTTCTTCTGTTTGTTTTTTAAGGCAAAAGAAGGAGATCATGACTGTACCTAAATGTAATGCAGTATCAGTAAATTCTAAAGCAAAGCTCACCTAGTGCCTGCACTGTTTGCTATATAAGCTCTTAACTTGTGGTTTTCCATACTAGATAATTATCTTCTGAGCATGGTTTCCTTCACTGGGACAGAGCTCTAAGCTTGTTACTCCTCTTTCTGGAGGGAAGGACTTAATCAATGATGGTCACATTCCTTATGATGCAGTATTCAACTCATTCTTAGCAAACAGCCTTTCTGTTCCCTCATTCTCAGCAAGTTTCTAAAACTAACCTCTGCGTTTAGGGAGATTAGATCTGGAGCGTTCTTCTCTGCCTGTAAACTTGAGAGAGATCTAACTTGTGTTCCTGCAATGGCCTTTCTCCTCACAGTACCCTCCCTTACCTGATATTCCTACAGTCTATACTTGATTTTTCTGTTGGAACATAATCTTTCATTTGTGTCTCCTGCCCTAGAATCAACAAGCTGGTTACCATCAGTTCACCATTATTCTCCGTCTGAAAGGATAATTACAGCATTTCCTTTGCTAACAGAAAATACAATATAGATCAGTTGGTCAAGCTGAGCAGCAGAAATAATGAAGCCTGGTTTCTTACAGATTTGTGTGCTGTATTGCATATCTCTACCTCCCTACCACTGCCTGGCATCACTTTCTATCTGTCTATAATCCTATATGTCTCCACATCTTCTCCAGGTTTCAGCTGTTCCTCCAAGTCACACATATCTTCCTGCTCTATTTTTGTACCCCAGCTGCCCACCATTACATCTCTAAACTGTCTCATCATACTTTCAGTTGTCTCTTATGTTCCCTGCTATCCCCCACGAGATGCATGCTGTCTGGATGACCACATCCTAACCTGTCCTTTCTGCCACGCAGATTTGGTGATACAACAAATCTGGTCATGTTTAACTGACTACCTGATTTTGTAAAAATTGCAATATATGTATGTTTATACATACATACATGTATCTTTGTGCATGTGTGTATACATCCCTACATCAGATTCAATTAAATTAGCCACAGAGTTCAACTGTTTCTGTGTGGGGACGAACAAATGCACAATCTCATAAGTCTTCATTTCTGAATAAGTTAAACAAAAAAGACGACTTAATATTATTATTATCAGTTATTTTTCTTCTACTCTTAATTGCATGGAAGTATAATACAAAACTACAATTTATAGATGCTGTACAAAACTAGATGTTGTCATATATTTCTATTCATAAAGAAATGTAAAAAAGAAAAATTCCTCTAGCCTTCCAATCCTTGTTTTGCTGTTGTAGTCTGGTAGATGTTAAGTTTGCAAGAATCCACTCTTTTGTTTTTGGGAGTTATTTAACAAAATTTTTATAGCCTTAATGTTAAAAAGCAGCCACCGTGGTCAGCAGATACTCTTACTAACTTCCCCTAAGTGCTTACTGTGCTAACTCCATAGCGTATGAGACAGGAGCTGAACCATGTAGTGTATTTTAATGTGACAGTCACCTGACAGACAGTAGTTTGATACTAAGACTCATGTGTCAAGGAATGTTTGTTTTTAACATTTCTTTGATGTCATCACTTTTCTATAAACCCACAGAGCACTTGTCAGGTTTGATAACAGTAGGCCGCACATACGAATTAGTTTCAGGTTTCACTGCCAAATGCAGTAATTGTGAACAATCAAGAGGCCCATTCATTCCTTTCTAATACTAAAATCTCCTCCCCTTTAAAAGAAGACAGGATGTTACTGGGAAAATCTTCTTTGCCTGTCATTCTTCCATTAAAGCTTCTTTTCCTCTTCTTAAACCCTCTTCTCAAATTAACTGTGCAAGTGATCGGTGCTGCATGAACTATGCAAGAGAGTCAGAATCTATTACTTGTTCAGTTCTATACCAAACGACTCGGATTTTATTCATTTATGTTGCGAGAGATGTTAGGCAGCATTCTCCCATGCATTTTTCAGTTCCCTGCATACTGCTGCTGCAGTAATTCTAGTCCCCCCATATCCTTCCCAGGCTCTGCTTTGTAATCTTTATGTTCCCTTCCCCCTCTGTCCCAAATCCTTTTCTTGCTGACCTCACTGTCTTTTCTTCCCTCACCAATTTGCTCTCTCTGCTTCTACTTGAGGCTTATCTGCAGAGGTTACTGCTCACTAAATTGAGATAACTCTGATCTGAGCTTGCTGCAGCTGGTTGCTCCTTGTTGGAAGGGGATTGTGCTGCTGTGTTCTGAGCTGTAGGTTCAGTACAGTGTGTTCAAGCAGCCTCAAGTCCTTGGTGTCCAGTGTTTTCTTCTGTCTGCCTCTCACAGATACAAGAGGCGAGAAGAAATGCTTCCTTTAGGGACGCCAACTGGAATTTAAACTTTCAAAATATACCTGTTTTTTGTCCACATTGGGAATTTGAAATTACCAGTGTACTGCAAATTCATGCTTCTTTTTAGTGTAAGCAGACTTTTTTTCTTGATACACAAGCCCATAAACTCAGGGTTGTGATGTGTTTCTCTCTTGTTTCATTAGAGTATATTTGTTACTGAACGAAGGAAGAATTAGCTCCTTTCTGCCCTTAAACAGTGATAGTCCCTAAACTGAGATGGTGGTTCTGTTACCTAAAACAGATTCTGAATATGGAAAAATCCATTATTTCTGATTTGAATCACTTTTTTTCTTCTGCTGCTTCACCTGTTGGCTCTTTTCCCAGGCATAGATCAGTTACACGGTCCTCATGAGTGGACTGTCTGAACAGGCAGGCCAAGATAGAATAGGGAAGGTGAAAACAGTAGCATCTCTGTTTCATAGATAGTATGAAGAAATGACAACCCAGAAGGCAGTGGTTTGCCTGTTGTCTTTTGGGAAGCTGATGGAAAGGGCCTTACTGGAAAGCCAGTTCCACTGACTTCCAGTTGTATTTTTAGTTCCCACCTCCTTCCATTTCAATTTCTAAACATAACCAACATATAAGGGGTCAGACTTTTTAATGGATGTTCAAAGGGATTTTAAAAATCCCTGAACTTGAGGCAGTCCAGCAATTTTGTATGTGCTTCTTGTTTTGCTCTCCATAAGAGGAATCACTCATTCATACAATGAAAGAACAGTGGCAGCAGTTAGAAGCATCTCCATGCAGCTTTCCCTTTGTTCTCTGCCTTTTTGCTTTCTTGTCTTTTCTGGGATTAACGTATTTGTTCAGAAAGTACAATAACAATTTCTACCTTTTTCCAGATGCATATGCATGGACACCAAGAATATTCCTCCTCACCAGTATTCCAGATGCCGAGGACTTCAGCCAGGCAACCTTCGGCACCCCCTGCTCAGCTCCCACACAACAACCTTCAGGGCCAGGGCCTTTGCTACACCACCAGTTCCACTGAGGACCTCCAACCAGGTCACTCTTCAGCCTCTCTTATAAAAGCAATTAGAGAAGAACTTCTACGTCTTTCTCAGAAACAGACAACAGTGCAGAACTTCCATAGTTGATTTAGCATTCCCTTGCAAATCTGCCAGCTATCTGCTTCCTATGGAAGCAAAGACTTACAGGAAATCAGCAATGTTGTTCTCTCAAAAGAATGGACTTTCACAGCTCTCTAGACAACACTTCTGGAAAAAAGAAAAAAGCAGCAAAATGAGGAGAGGAAGGAGAGACTGGGAACAGTCATCAGTGTCATGGCAATCAGTGGTAACTAATCTGTTAATATTACGGTGCTCCTCTTCCCTTCCTACCCTCAATACAGTCTAACAAACAAAGAAAACCTGAAGTCAAGAAATCAACACTCCGGCAAAAAAAAAAAGTCACAGAAACAAACTCCAAGTGTAGTAGACTCCTTTTTCTAAGGAGGAAGGCAAAGGTTTGTGCGAACTGAGGTGACATTTTGCAAGAGATTCCAAGTATTCTGATCTCTCCAGTGCTTATGGGGAACTGGTTTGCGTTGGTGTTCTCCAAGATTACAAACTGTATCAGCTCTAGGTTGTTGAAGGTGTAATCCCACGTAAGAATCACTTTGGTTGTCAGTAACAGTAGGACTTAGAATAAAAGGCTTTATGAACTACTTGTAACAAAACGGAACAATAATTGTTAAAGCTCCATGCTTCCAAATGGAGCTACCCTCTGCACTCTTCCTTGTTTTCCTTCTGGTGCTGAAGCTTCAAGTGTTCCTTCATCTTCAATGTTTGCAAAGTGAAACATTGGCCTTGTATAACTAAGAAAATATCTGTAGACTCATTCAGGCTGGAGAAACAAAGCAAAGCAATCAAACAGAAAGGGCTTGGTATATAATTTGTTTTGAAAATCATTGAAAAATAGGAAAGGAATATTCAGCCACAGTTGAATCTGGAGAAATGTGTATGTATGTTTTTAATATATATATATATATTTACATACTACTCTTGTAAGACCAGCGATAAAATATTCCACTCTGTAATTTGCTTTGTGGACAGAAACCAATCCAGCCTGACTGGTACAGGGTCACCAGCATTATGTTTTAAATTGATGTCCTACATCATTGCTTATGTTTGGATCTGAATAATTTTAGTGAAAGTCGGTGACAGTTTAGAACATTAACATAGGCTTAGATTTGCGGTTTGAAGACAGTTTCTATATTTATACTTGTTCCCACTGTCCCTCTGGACAAAGGGTAAGCATTATCCCCATGGTAAGAATGGTACGTGCCATGGAACTGTTTGTTGCTGTTTTTTCCAGAGTTTTAATTTAATACTAGCTATGAATTTACTAATATTTGGCCATTGCATAACTGTAACTGATGTAATACATATGGAGATTTTACTTAAGTCATAATTTGTTGAGGTGTTTTTATTTTCAGATCAGACTGTACAAAAGCTAGCAAACTGGCACTGAGATGGAGAGTAAGCTCTGTGTTTGTGAGAAGGCCTACGAGCCTTGCCTCAGAAAAAATGAAACACAAAACTGTTCGGTGCTACAACGTGGGCATTTCAAATGCTCTTAGAAGATGGGAGTAGCCAAGGAGATCATTGGGTGGTTGACCAGGGTAAGGCTGTGTTTGTCTTACTGGGGTAGAAATAACAATTGGTAAAATGCAAGTATATCATGCTGGTTTAGTATGGTGTTCTTTGGCTACCATATCAGTTCCCAGCTCCAGTGCTCAGTGGCTGCAGCAGGACTAGCTCAGACTGAAATGAAAACAGGTAGGAGGATGCCATGGAAGAACCCTGCGTACCTTGTTCGTGAAGTACGTATGTAATGTCATTTGTTGCCAAAGCCAAGACTAGGAAGCAACTATCTGCTGATGATATGATAAAAACAATGGCACATTGCTTCCTTTTTTTATTAGAGAACTAAGTTGTTTATCTTTTTACCCACTGTTGTCAGAGGACAGTATGAAATTGTTTGAGCGACTTCATGTAGCAAAGCGGTATAAATTCATTTCCAGTTCACTGTTCAATACGTAGTCCTCATGGGCACTGGTTGAGGTTTGATTGGAGTCAGAACACCTGCATGATTCTGAACAGCACTATCTACAGGTCATTCTGTTTTGAATTTTTAAAGCCTTTTGTGTAATAATCAGTTGTAGCATAAAAATAAAGAAACTTTTGTTTTCTGCCAGATTTCTAAATGTGAATGTTGCTGATACTTCTGAAAAATGTTGGGTTTTGCAACATGAAGATTCTATCAGGCAGTGTTAATCTTCTTGACAATGCTGAAGACTGTTCCTAAGTGTTCCAATTTAAACCAATTCCTTCATAGCCCAGATCTTTCTCCAGTGTAATTCTGCAATGAAGCCTGAGGCCAATGCCTGTAACATTAGCACGTTACAATTACTTCATTTTAAGAAAATGTGGTCTTCTAGAAAGTAAGTGATTTCTGGCTCCAGCTACTTATGAAGGAATATGAAGTCCTTTGAAGTTTAAAGGTACTTACGCTGTTTCTAATTCACTTTTGTTATTGATGGTGATGCTATTACAATATATCATCTTTTTTTTTTGTTTGTTTGGAAGAATATCCTTTTCACTCCCGAATCTTAGTGAAGGACATGAACAGGACAGCTAGATAAAGCTAAATGAAAGTGGCTTTTGCTAAAGCAAAAACCTCACTTTAACACCATGCAATTTCACAGAGAAGCCAGTAATATGTAAGCTGAAAAGCTGCATTTGAAAGTTATGTTCTCAGTCTGGCTGGAGACCTGATCTGGTATTCACAAAACAATGGTATGGCGTATTCTGTATACTCACATATTAGCAAAAGTAACACAATGGAGCACTAGATGTTCCCATTCCAGGGATGTTCCTAACAGAGGAAACGCACACGTTACTTTGTGCAGCTACAGGAAAGCCAATTTTTCTCATGTGCTACAGGGGGACTCTGGGATGCATACGCCAAAATGGGTTTCCACTTGGGAATTCAGGGGGGGAAAAAGACTGCACGCTTCTCAATCCCCAAGTGCTTGCATTCTTTTGCCAGTTATTTTATTGCCCTATTAAAAGAAAGAAGAAAAGAGGAGAATTTTACAGTATCCTGAATTTGAAGTATCTGTTAATGAATCTACCAGTTACTAAAAACACCGGTCAGATGAGAAGTTGATACAGGCATAGAAAGATGTTACCAACTGTTGCATCTATTTTCATGACTGGTTTATAGAATCCTCAGTTTTTTCTCTTTCTTTATAGTTTTCTGTGACATTTTGTCACATTTTAGTTTGTGTTTAGTTTGGCATATAGCAGAACTTGGCAAGATCAGAGCTGTGTAATTTAGGTTGGTTGGTTTGCTTTTCTTTTCTGATGCCAAAATGTAGACCTCTTGCTTCTTGCTTGTCTTTAAAGCAAAATGACATTTTACAGTCCTTTTTCAGATAGTAAATCTGAAAGGTGGGCTGTGTTTCAGTGCTATAAAATATCATCCACCAGGCTGTAACACACATGGTCCTGTCAATGGCTGTGTGCATGTGACTGAAGAAAGAGAACTGTGTTGTGATGTTGTATGAGAGAATTGCATACATGCTGGACTCATAAAGCAAGAAGTGGAATTTCATGGTGCCTTTGCAATTGGAATACGCTTGGAATGGTTTGGATTCAGATAAAGTTGTTGGATAGTAGCAATGTCATACATAGCAAAATATGGCAACTAGGTCTCCAGGATGACAGTACTAAAAAGATTTGTATTACAAGCTGGAATATGGCCCCCTGCTCCCACTTGAGTTGATTCTGTAATGTAAACCATAATCTGTGCAGTCCTTCACCACTGACAGTGCTGGTCTGTACAAGTGGGGAACATCTTTCGTCAGTGAGATTACCGAAAAGCAGGTCACCAAGACCAGAGATTTCTCTAGGACAGTTTAGATGTGCCTATGGAAAAGTAGCTTCAAGCTGCTTAAATGCAGAAATAAAAAATTGATTTATTTCTACAGTAGGCATCTTTTTCCTTTTCCTCTTGTGTTTTTGTTTGTTTATTTTTGATGGAAATGGGGTGGGGAAGCTCTCAGTGTGCCACCAATATGTTCTTACTCATGCATTGTGGTATTTATAGACTCTAAATATTGATGAGGGGGAAAGTAGGAAAGAAATTTTGTAGCCATGCTGATGAAGATTTGCTTGGTGTGCCATGTTTTCCTCCAAGCATACCTGGGTACTCTGATTTCTTTGTTGTCATGAGCACCCTTTGAAAAGCAGATGTCGAAAGAATGACTGTAAAAGTTCATTTGTCTGTATTTGACACAAGTTCAAATGAGTGCAGACCAAGCTCTGCTTGCTGCAGCTCATACCATTAGGATTACTGCCTAAGATCCAAATGCTGGTCAAGATGATGTCCTTGCTCATGACTGCATGACTTCCACTGAAAACCATTGAGTCACATGAATATTGGATGAAAATTCATCCTGCAAAATCTGCAGTACAGGTTGGGATGTAAGATGTATTCTTGGTAAGATGTATCTAGCTTGATTTACAGATCCCAGGGAGTCTGCTCTTACAGACAGTAAGCAACTGAGAGGCAAAAATCAGATAGAGTTGCCCTTCCTTTGTGAAAAGATTTGTCCAGAGCAGAGCGGCAGTCCTGTGAATCCCATTAGATTAGTGCTAGAATACATTTTTATTGGCCCTTCATAGTTTGTGGAGTCAGAATGTTTTGTCTTGATTCTGTATTCAACTATGATACTCACTGCATTTAAAGCATACTTTCTCTTTCATAATGGCCATTTCAGCTTAGTTTTCAGTAATTCTTATTCCATAGCTAGAAGTTTATGTTTAGGCTGTTACATCTTGCCTTAATCAGAATAAAACGTTGGCACATTTCGAAGCAGTGCTCTGAAGAGTCTTTTGAAATGAATGCAAAACTGTCATGGATCCCTGATGTGGTGTTTTCATACAGTACTCCTGGTATGGCCATATGTAGAGCAGGCAAAGGGAAATGAGAATTAAGAGAGTGAAAAACAGACTGAAAGATGAAAACTACATTGTTTAGCATTTCCATTTATATGCTAATGTCTGTGCTTCTTAATTACTCTGACACAATCCCATGATCACTTCTCTAAGGTTTTGGCACACAATGTCTTGGAAGTTGGTTGTCTCTTCCAGGTTGTTTGAATGTTTTAGTGCTGTTATGAGTTAAAAGGAGTAGCTAGATACCACCATGTTTCAGGAAAAAAACTTCAAGGAAAAATTAATGTGGTGGTGTATTTGGCAATGCATCACTCTCCTCTGGTCTTGAAATGAAGTTCTGAAAGAAATTTGACTACGGTAACAGGAATTTTAAAATATTGTAATAATAATGAAAATCAGAGAGCTTTTACCCACGGAGTTAAGGGAACAGGATTGGGAATTTGCAAACATCAGTAGTATTTCAACTTAGTTGGCAAACAGGAAATTGTGTAATCAATGAATATAATTATTATATGAATATAATGAATTATAACAGATGTTACAATTAAGAAATACACAGAAAAGTTAGGCTAAACAGGATATCATGCTAAAGAACAGATGGAAAGCTTACCCTTGTCCTGGGCTCACTGAGAAGCCTCTAAGAGGAGCAATCTCTAAAAGAAATCCTTCCTTAGTGGCAGTCAGCTCTTACATGGGGCTGGGAGAGGTGGAGCCAGGCTCCACCCCTTCCAGTAGCAGAGGAGAATTGCCTTCACCGGTGCTCCCAGGGCTGACTCATTGCTCACCTCAGGTGGTCAATCAGAGGTTCAGGCCACGATTCAGCAGTTCCCATACACTCACATTCTCTGAGGTATGGGTGATTTGGGCATACACAAACTCACGAGCCCATTACAGTATTTGTTGGCCTTTGCAACCCTTAATAAAATGGTTTCAGGTAAGTCACATTACATTGTCTGAGGAACTCTTATTGCCCAGCATTTCCATTGATGATGTTGATCCACGTGACAGTTCCTTTGAGCTTGATGATGGCTCCTTTAAACAAAAACACTTCAAAAAGATTACAGATTAAGATTTTCCCATTTAAAGGATTTATAGATGCATGGCAAAGTGTTTACATTATTGGTATATTTTGCTATTCTCCACCAAAAAGTGGAAGAGAATTTTCTAGGGTGCTGGAAACCACATTCTTGCTTTTGCAGCGTGTGGTAAAGCTGCAGAGAAGTTAGTGGAAGTTTTTCTTACTTCCAGAAGACAGCATCAGTGATGCAGCATTATCTACAACAGTCACATCTCCACCTGGGAGCAAAGGGTACTACTGTCCTGCAGCTTTGCACTGAAGATGCACTTCAGATCAGTGACAGTGAGCAGTTTTTGGTCTTCTATTTAGTGATGAACATCTCACTTAGCACTGTCACATAGCATCTGTACAAAAACATTAGTGTA